ACAGCTGCAATCAACAAATTCTTGGCGGATCAAATATCCGTGGACACCGATACCCATGTGCAAGGCGCGACAGATCAAAAATCCAGCGGAAAGCTGAAACAGCTCGCAATTTCTGCACGCATGATCATTCCTAACTACCGCAGATTAAGTGCGTCACGTGCGTCGAAAGGTACTCCGTACGCTGCGCAGTGAAAAATGGAAACAGTATGTGAAAACAGTATATTTCGAGAAAATCGTATCTTCTTTCAGTGAATTCCAGCCTTTTGCTGGTAGCTCTTGTCGATTTAGGAAAGCTGCTCGTATACTTTGTCGTCGATATCATCCCATCGAACTCTCCAGCGGCTTTGCTACCCTGTTACCACGATGGTGATGGCTAAATAGCCATTCTTGTGATCAAAAGTAAATAAACATGGCAGAGAAGCAGGCCAGCAAGTTCATGTACTTCAGATCACAATTCTTGATTTCGGTATAATCTTCTTGAATCTCACGACAAATACAGCGTACGTACTAATTCACATCACCGTGTAGACTTCTGTAACTTCATGTATCATTCTGCCTTCAACGACTTTCAAGCGTATTCTCTTAATTGGAGAGTCCTATGATAGGACAAAAAATTGTGTAGGATAGAAATCCTATCCAATTTGTTGAAAGCAGGACTGAAGGTTGAAGTTGTCCAGAATGATGGTCGGTCACGTAAACGCATTTACATCCAATCAGAAAGGGCATAATCAGTCCCCTGCGACACTCGATGTTATTGACGTGTGAGCATCGAGTTGACCAGCATTGACACATTTGCCTCCAAGCAGCTCAAACTTCACGATGGCCTCCCTCCTCATGTCAGTGTTCGACGCTGTCCGCTTCTTCTCTGGCTTCTCGGCCAAAAGCTCGATCATCGACGAGTACAACTGGAGCTACATTGAGCGGCGGGGCAAAGACGAGAAGGACACAGACGTCGTCGTCTTCCTCCACGGCTTCAGCTCCGTCAAGGAGTCATGGGTCCGCGTGGCTCGCGGTGTCGATAAGCGCTACAAGATCGTCATCCCAGACTTGCCCGGCCAAGGCCGCACTACGCCCATCGATGCACTGACCGACTACTCAATGCCCAATCAAGCCGAGAGATTGCACGACTTCTTGGAGCAGGAGGTACCCGCCAATAAGAAGATCCATCTAGTGGGCTGCTCTATGGGCGGCATGCTCGCAGGAGTGTATGCTGGTCTGTACCCGGAGCGTATCAAGTCGTTGACAATGGTGTGTCCAGCAGGCATCTCTATGCCCAGGAAGAGCACATTGTTGAAAATGCTTGAGGACTCTGGACGGAATTTGCTGCTTGCACACACAGCCGAAGAACTCGTTGAGATGAATAACCATCTCAGCTACGATCCACGTAAAATACCGAGTGTCTTTTTAAATATTATCGCATCGGAACGAGAGAAGCAGCTGCCTGTACTGGAGAAAATTGTGCGCGATTCACTCCAGAACCCGACGGTGTTGGAAGATTTATTGCCTAGTATTCGGGCCAAGACGTTGGTGATGTGGGGCAAACACGACCAAGTTCTGGACGTCTCATCAGTGGACGTGCTGAAGCAGAAATTAACTCCAGAAGCTCAAGGACAGGTACTGCTGTTTGACGATTGCGGCCACATTCTGCAACATGAAAAACATGCCGAGTGTACTGCTGCTATCAACAAGTTTTTGGCGGGCGAAGCGCTGTCAGTGAAGAATCTAATGTAGGCGAGAAAAAGTAGAAATAGAGTAGATTATGCATGCTCATATAGTATCATCCTTGGCATCATAGTTCATAGAGTTGAGTTAGATCGTCTGAAATTGTCTACCAACAACGTGAACACTTCGAGCAGTGGTTAAGACAAAAAAAAAAAAAAA